TTTGTAATTTGGCGGGCTTCTATATCTATGTCTATCAATGGAAGACTGTCTATAGTTGTATTTGTTTCTGTATTCTGACCTATGTCTTTCTTTTGAAATTTTGGGGCAATCTCTTCTATTGTGTTCCCTAGATCCACAGTTGTGGCATCTAAATGCTTCATTATATTTTTCTTGAAAAGCTACTTTTCTATATGGTTTGTGTTCTATGTGATTGTTAGAGCGACTCCTCCTTGAATTGTCTTCAGCTATTAACTTATTGGATAGACTTTCTATGGATAAGTATCCTAGATTGATTGTGTCTAAATGTGACATATAATTATCCCATGATGGGTCAAGTGAGTTGATGATAACACTTTTCATTGTTTGATCTGAAATCACCTCCCCCCTTAAATGCAGTTCAGCTCTTATTTTGTTTAAAGATATCAAGTGCTCACTTATGGAAACCCCTGGTTTTATCCTAGATGAAAAGAAATCTTTAGACATCCTTGTGGTAGTGGCTACACTGTCACTGTGAAATAGATTGAACATGCATTGAATAATTTCTGAAACAGTCAGATTTTGCTTAATGCTGTGATACATAGCAGGAGATACACTAGAAATTAATAAGAAAAATGCTCTATGGTGTAAACAGTCTAATTTTAGAGTCCAAGGTCTTTTTGGGGGACTAGTGATAAAAAACAGTAAGTTTTCTTTCATAAAGACAACCTGGAGCTGCTGATACCATTCTTGTAAATTAATGCCATCTATCCTCAGCTTTGGGAAGTCACTGGGCAAATTTCCGACATTATTAGGTCCATTACTTACAACCTGAGGTAGTCCGTGGTCTCGTAAATGCAGAAAGTTACAAAACGGCGTGGGGATGCCCGCAACAAGCCTGCACAGTCTTCTCAGCAATTCATGTCTTCCTGGGCTGTCTGCGTAGTCTTGCGCATGCGCGTTGTTCATTTCTTCCCTGGAGTCGTCGTGAGAGGTTCTCGGCGTTGCGGCTCGCTCGTTCTGCTCCTCCTCAGATGAATCGGTTTCTGGCTCGATCTTGGGAGTCCTGACGATGTCGGCTGTTCTTTTTCTTCTTTTGAGAGCGTTGGTGCTTGCGTCGATCTGTGGCGTGGGGCGGTATCGGCAGGGCTCTCTGGGTTCGGGCGTCGGCTCTCTCATAGTCAGGATGGGAGCGGGTAGATTTTGAGGCATTGGCTTGCTCGCTTGCTTCTTAGTTAGCTTTTTGGTAATTTTTAGTTTTGGCCCAAATGCAGCAAAAAGCGTTTTCATTGCTGATTTTATCTGATTATCTGTTGAATCACCTTCACTTTCCGATTCTGATTCTTCTGAGGTGTTTGAATTTTCTTTTTCGTTTTCGTTGTCTGGTAATGTTTTTCGCGCCAGAAATTTTGAATCGAGTTTTCTGATTGGCTCTGCTTCGCTCACCCTGGAGGTCTGTTGAAACCAAGATGGCTGCCATTCAAAATTTTGCGCGGGATCACCGTTTTTCTTCTTCATAGTAATTTTTTCTGCAGTCATATCACTCACTATTTTTGGGTCTTTTGTTTTTCCAGTAGTGATGTGCTTCTCTCTCGCTGTTCCGCTGTTTTTCAGCATATCTTGGAGGTTCGCGATGAGGCTTTCATCATTTTTCTGGCTCTTTAATAGTTTTAATATCTCTGACCTGAGTTCGTTGTTTTCTATTTTGATTTCCTTCTGATCATCATTTTCATCTATTATTTCTTCGTCTTCAGTGGTGTATTCTTCGGATTCTCTCGAAATCGCGTTTGTTGATTCGTCGATTATTTCTTGATCCGTTTCCATTTCTTTGCTGTATGCCCTGGTGTTGGGCCTATCTCTCTTAGACATTTTTTTTTTTAAATTTTTATTGAGTCAATTAACCATCCTCTGCTACCAGCTTGTTGCAATATTTTCAGGATCAGACTCAATAAATCTAGTAAGAGTTAAGAGTTCAAATATATCTCTCTTTATTTACATAAGGCATTCTATATTCACTGAATATTCACAGATAGAAGCAAGGAAATGGATGCATACAGCTCCTTATATATACAATGGGTGGAGCTAGGTGTGGGAGTGGTGAATTATGAATACATTAAGAAGTGAAGAATAAATTAACCCCTGATACCCCGTTCATATACTATTTACACATTAGAGAATAAGGCATTTACATGTGACAAAAACTTTGTTAATTTAGGACAGCCTTTCTCACTGGATGTCCTCCAGATACGTAGATTTCAATTCCTAGACTTTGTAATCTATGGAATTCTGGCTGCTGAAGGAAGATAGGCTGAGAAAGCCTCCCGTTTTGTTCATATTTCCCAGAGATTAAAATTCACTAAAATACTTTTCTAATTAAACATGCCTATAATCATCTACATGCTGACTTAGGAGGTAGGCCTCATTGAAATCAATGGTATTTTTTGAAAAGATTACTAGTTGAAAAAGTTCTATCTCTTTCAAAAACAATTTGAGTTTCACCTAAATCCTCTCTGCTAATCATTAAAATAGCTGCTACTTTGGACAGTATTACTTGGTCTGTTGTGTGGATGTTTGGGTGGTTTAGGGGTGGGGAATTGTGGGTGGGAGTGTGTTTAGGGATTGTTATCTGTGTTGGACCTGGTCTTTGAGTGTTAAGTGAATTTCGTTATATGGGTCTACTGTGTATACACGTACAATGACAATAAAGTTGTTATTATTATTGTTGTTGTTGTTGTTATTATTATTATTATTTTCATAGGCTTCCATTAAACCAGAAAAAAAAGGTGATGCCGCTTTAAGAGTTGCAGTTAATGAATGAATTTCTAAAAGTAGTGGCACTTTTTTCTTAGTTACAAAATAAGGATTTTAAGAGACAGATTTATTATCTTTTATCCATTCCAGGTTTTCAGAGAGAAACAGACTTAAACATCCAAATAAACCAGGTAAATTTTGACTGCATATAATGGTGGTTGCTGTTGTATAGTCCTCGACTTACAACTGTGACTGAGTTTGCAATTTCAGTTCCAGTATAAGTCGTGATAGTAATTAACCAGGTCACCATGTGACCTTACCTGAATTTATGAACTTTTTTGTGATGGTTGTTAAGCAAATGTGACAGTTGTTAAGTGAACACCATGGTCATTAAGTAGACCGTTGTTTGCTCTGGGGTGTTTTTTACTGGAAACCGGAAGCAAATGCTGGTTTACAGCATAACATCAAAACTTGCAGTCCTATGATGATAGGCCCTGCTAATGGCCATAAATGTGGGTCACATGTCGAGTACAAAAATGTGGTCACGTGACAGACGGGGCAGGGGTCCCAGTCCCCAGAATTTCATATCTGTTTTTACTGCTTACAAAATACACCTTTATCATCCTGCAACTCATTATTTTCTCTGTGTGGGGAATAGAAAGCTAAACTTGAAGACTGATGCTGGATTTTATAAAATTAAAAAAGTTTTACAAAAATAGCTGTGCTTATACTCTGCCAAGGAATACATTTCTTTGCTTCGCTATTGATCCTACTCTTAACATTTTGTAATTTTATAAAGCAATGAACTCTTCTTGTTCTTCCTGGGTTGGCAACACCTTCAGGCAACGGAATTTTATTTCCATTCTATTGTCAATCTCTGGTGCTTAGAAGTTTTGTTAATCTGTTTAAAACCAATCTGGCTGTAAATCTTCCTGGAAAAGGCATTTCCAAATTTAACAGACTTCTAATGGAATCTCTTTGAAAACAAAGGAGTAACTGGATCTGTTCAACGACTTGCTTTTCTTTCATATTCCTTACTGTACAAAGATATAATTTTGGATATAGAACGCACCCTCCCTTTTTCTGAGAAGTATCGAGAACTATACTATTGATTTTTTTTAAATTAAAGCAAGAAGTTACCAGAAGAGCCTTAAATAAGTTCAGTTTTAATTTGAGCCAGCGTATTGAAACAGCTTTGTTCCAACGTTTTATATATTTGTTTATCCTGTTTTATGCTGGAGCATGTTATTAAATAATTCTCAAGGATTTATGTAATGTTTATGCTAACTATTTTTAAAACTTACATTATCAAAGGCATTTCTAAGATATTAGATATTTAAAAAACAGTTAAATCTGATAATTCTTGAACTTATTGCAAATCTTGAGTATGAGGCATTGAGTGTGAGGCATTTGTGAAGATGAAATAATATAGGAAAAATACTTAACCAAACTCATTTGCAGAAAATATGTGCCTGCCACATTTTAATTTTGGCGTTGAACCCATTTCTCATCTTTTAACCTGATTTTAATTTTTAACCTTTTACCCAGATAAAGGTACATTTGAGAGTGGGAATTCCTTCCCACAGTGGATTGCCAAAAATATTATTTTGAAGAATGGGAAAATACCTCCTCCTGGAATGTTGGAAAAGAAATTTAATAAAAACAAATAATAAACTAACTTAGATTTAATTTCTTTTACATCTGATATTTCTTTGCATCTGATATGATATTATCATGTGAAAGTTCCAAATATCAAAATAAGGACATTTGTTCTGCTCTTAAACTGTTTTCCATAGAATTGTTGCAATTTTTTTCCAGATGCAAAGCTAGACTTCTGACAATTTGGATGAAAGTTATCTATTTAGTGCCAGAAGATTAAAAGAAGATGTCCAAGGAGTTTTTCAGCTTTAGAAGTAAATATTTTTTTTAGCCTTCACATCCTTTTGTTACCCAATTTATCTACTCTTTAGGATTTCAGATCTAGAACTAATAACAAAATTTAGGCTATTGAGATCTAAGGACAGCAGTTTGCAAATTACAATTTGGAATAACTATCATGTCTCAGCTAGGATAGAGAACTTGCATTCTCTATAAAAGAGAGAGTTTCTCCTTTGAAATTTGCTGCTAAATCAAGAAATAAAATATCAGGGACAACTACAGGGGAGTAATTGACTGAACTGTTGAATGTCTGGAAGGAAGTGGTGGAGCTGGGGTGGAGAAAGCCTATGCATGGGAAGGATGTATGGCTGGAATAAGGGAGGGAAACTGCAGGAAGGAACAGGAAGGGCCCAAGACTTTTTGCCAAAAAATAATTGCTCAGTATGAATATTTGTAGGCATCTTTAGAACATCCTTATCACGAAGCTTTTGTATTCTGGACATTTTCAAGCCAGCAGCTGTCTGGCAGGCAGCTTTGCCAGCGAGACTTTTAATGTGGATGTTTCTTACAAAGAAAAATACAGACTGACCAGAAAGACTGGAATTTCAGCTTCCCCCTCCTCATTTCCTTGGATTTCTTCTCTCACCCCCCCTCCTGCTGCAACTCTTTTAAACAAGACATTATTGGGTCAGTGCCTCATTTTACCCTTCCCAAGCTAGTGGCTTCTTTGGCTAGAGCAAGAAAAGGACACGGTTACCTGTAAGTACTAATTTTTTTTGTTCTTTCTCTTTCTGATTCAGTTGCTTTGTTTAATAACTGAGTGGTGCAATGTCATATTTCCAGAATAACACAATGTCTTGTAAATGCTCAAGTTTCAGAGAATGGAAGTCTTCTTAAACCATATGCACGAGAACAGTTTTTGGGATGAAAGTAAAAATCTAATGGTGACTGGGGAAAACAATATTGTAACAAAATGCCATTAAAGAAAGTTGTGGCATCAATTCTCTTGCCTTGGTAGTTTACGTTGTATAATGAAACTCTAGACACAACATGTCTTAACTACCTACAATCTCGTCCTGACTGCCTCATTCTGCTTTTATAAAACTTGGAAAAAAGAAGATTGTGTCTTTTCCCACTGTTCTCAGCCTGGGAGAAACTGAGAAACATATTTTACACAATATGTTTAACCTGCTGAGCAGTGCAGTATCTCACGCTTTTTATTAAACAAGATTGCAAATCTTTTAGAGCCTTGCAGTATGTTTACTAGGAACTTGTAGTATATTTACTAGGAACAGTTTAACTTCCTAAGCAATTTAACATACTTCAAATGACAGGACAAATTTTGAATCCCAATCAAAAATATTTTTTGCAATTTTTAAAATATTATAATAAAAGAAAGATTCAGTAACGACTGGCAAAGAAATAGAATACATCTCATTGAATTGATTGGCTTGTACAATTAGCGGAAGGTTATAAAAGAAAAATAAATGGGGATTATAAATTGAATAAATAAATAAATAAAATTATGTTATATTTTTAAGATGCCAGCTAAATCCAAGGTTTTAGGAAATAGCTTCCTGCTCATTATTGAAATGAGCATGGTCTACAATCCAGCACACATGCTGCTTAATATATTAATGATTTTAATGAGATTTAGGTTGCAATCTTAAATTCACTGATTAAAGAATAAATCTCATCAAACTCAGCAGGGGTCTGCCTTTTAACTTGCTTAGAAATGAATTGCCCAATATCCCAATTGCAAAAGATTTTCCCCCTGGATTGTAAAAATTCCTTTGTCTGTCTGAAGACCATTTTCATCTATCATGCTGTTAAGTTTTTATTCTTTATTTTCCAACATATGTTTTCTTTTGTTCTGAAAGGATTTTTTAAAACCTAGAAAGTTATAATATTTCCTTGGTATATTTAGTCAGCAATGAGATACATCTTGTAGAATTCATCTGTAAGACCCGGAGTCTTCTGCTTAATCCATTTTTCTCTGTAAAGTATTAAATAGCTTTCAGATTTGTGGTTCTGTTTTTAATGTCCTCCTACACTCATAAAGAACCCAGTAAGTAAAGAAGAAGTTGTAAGATCAAGTTGCTTTTGTCTTTGGGGAAGACATTTGGAAATAATACTCGGTGTTCAGAATTCTTACAGAAGGAAAATAGTGATAAAACATTTTGAGAGTGATTTGCATTTTCTTCTGGTGAGTCATTAAATTAGTTTCATTTCTGCAAATTTATCTGCTTTTCCAACAGTCAGTAATTTTAAATCTTGATGTGAGGAGGGTTAGTTTCTTCTACATACCTCTTTGAATGTTAAAAGGAAAAAAATTCTACCTCCAACAGAGAAGTGAAATATGCATAGTTTTGCAGTTGCACTACCATAGTGACAGGGTTAAAAAGAAAGTTGCTACTTGCTGCCCTGATATGAAACACATTCATTGGAATCAAGCACCACATTTTTGCTTAAGTAAATAAACTTTTAAACAAGAAGGGTAACAAAGTGAATATGTAGCTCCCTGGTGTCTCTGGAAGATTTTAAAAAAAAAATAAGAAAAAAGAAAAAGGACAAAGAAAAGGAGCATAAGCCAAAATTTTGGTTCCAGGTCTATTTATGCTATTCCCACCCGCAATTATATCCTTGGTTCTAGGAATTTGTGGGGAGCAGAGGGTAAGTGGCGGAAGTGATGAATTCTGCATTGTGATCTTGTGATACAAAACTGCTCAAAAACTGCAAATGGCTACTAGAAGTTTGCATCATAATGTCATGATCAGTGGTGGGTTGCTCCCGGTTTAGTCCGGTTCTTGCGAAACGGTAGTAACTGCGGTGGGAAGCTCTGCCCACCTGACTGGACATCATCATGAATGATCTGCGCATGCGCAGAAGTGTGCACGCATACTCCCGTTGCGAACCGGTAGTGGAGGTAAGTAGAACGCACCCCTGGTCATGATGCATATTTCATCATTTTGCCACACTTCTAGCTAGGAATGGATACCTCAGGTGGGTGTGCTTGGAGTTCCCTGAGTTTCAAGGATTTGGTTTTCAGCCCGGATATCTAAGTTCAAGTAAAACTATTGACCGGAGAGGTTTTATTTTCTCTATATGTAATGGTCTGTGAGAATAACCTTGGGAGACAGGAGAAGGATCCACAGCTAGACACTGGTCAGACAAAAGATATCTCAGCCCAAGGAATGAAGATAAGGAAGGCATCTCAGAAGGGACCTTCCCTAGTTCTCTAGGAAGTAAAGGCAAGGGAGGGGGCGAAGTGCTTTCAGACTTGCAAGATTCTGTTACTTGTAACCTTACAATAAATTTAGCATTAATACTCATGGTTTTGATTTCCTGACTATCTCAGAAAGCTGACACTAAGGTAAAGAGGCATGGTAAAACAAATCTAACAGCTGGCTGTTAGAAATTCTCTTTTCACTTCCTATTAAATCCAATTTTAAGCTTTTATTCTTGACAATAGGCACGTCTGCAAAGATTTGACAAGGAAGGGAGACTTCCAATGTTTTTTTTTTTTTTAAACTCCTTAATAAGTTGTTTTGCCTAGATTACAATAGTTATAGTCCTGCCTGTGGCAGACTTTCAAAGGCTTCAGAAAAATTGGCTGAGAAGGTGTATTGTCAGCTGTGTTTCTTTTGATTTTTAGATAAACATTCCCTGCTAAATACAGGTAAGATAAGAGGATTGGTGTTTTTTTTAAAGAGCATCTTGTATTTCAAAGAAAGCAAAACAACCTTTACCAAATGCTTTGGAAGGCATCTTGTTACTATTTTTGTTCTTTTACAGTTCATGTTATATTGTTGCGCTAAAGTTGTCTTTCTTAAAGTGGTCTGCCTCAATTACCTATCCCCAAAGAAAAATACCTGCAGGCAAAATTCAACTCTGTACAGGCTCATCCCTACCTCTTCATCATCCACTTCTTCAGCTGGCAGATCTGAGGAGATTTGTGCTTAGATTTCCCTTAATCACAAATCCAATCCTCTGTGCAATCTGGGGTCCCAACTAGACAATTCAGGGTGGGAAGTATATGTGTGTTTGAACCAGAGGTGGGTTTCAGCAGGTTCTGACCAGTTCTGGAGAACCGGTAGCGGAAATTTTGAGTAGTTCGGAGAACCGGTAGTAAAAATTCTGACTGGCCCTGCCTCTATCTATTCTCTGTCTCCCAAGTCCCAGCTGATCGGGAGGAAATGGGAATTTTGCAGTAACCTTCTGGAATGGGGTGGGAATGGAGATTTTACAATATCCTTCCCCTGCCAGGCCCACCAAGCCACGCCACGGAACCAGTAGTAAAAAAATTTGAAACCCACCACTGGTTTGAACCATTGCTCAATCTTTGGTCTTACAAGCAATCTAGCTCTTGCTTGACCTACTTCAATTCCTCATTAAATGAAAACCTGAACAGGCCCAAGAGCTTTCCTTGTAGGCAGGGACTACTGTGACAAACATACAAATCTCTTTTTCTTGAATGCTGAATGCTTATCTTACGGCACTGGGAAAAGAATTGGGGCGTAGAATAGAATGGGAGGCAGAGACTCCAATGCCCCTCCATACCTCTAGCCTGGTAGATGGGCAACTCAACAGGTAGCTCAACTCTTGTTCAAAGCAACTGACTATATATGCCCTGGTGTAGGTTAACCTGATGTGGGTTAAAAAGACAATCCCCACCATAGATTAAAGAGGGTGATTAATGTTTGGAAATGATGCTCTATGGTTGGAGAAACGAAGTCAGGGAAATCATCCAATCACTTTCCTTAATTTGTCCTGCACCAAATCTGAAAAAACATCACCACTTGATGCTCTTCTTCCTGAGGCATAATACAGTTTGGGAATCAAATCAATGCAATTTATGATAGAATACATTTCTGCTGACTCAAGGATTAGATTATGGGTTGGATTAGGGACTTTTAAATTCTATAGATATCAGTAGTATCAAAGGAGCATTTTTCATAAATAGCAAAATTTTGTCAATAGTGAATATCCCTTGTGCCCTTCAACCAAGTGAAAAGTATTTCATGAACTGCATCAAATAAAACTCAGATTGTATTTGTGCATTGGACTATACATATCTCTGAGTCTTTGCAGGGAAATGGTGATGAACTGACACGATTGCTTTATTATTTTTATATCTTCACTTTCTGTGGCACTTTGAAATGTAAAACGTATAGATCCTTGCTCTGCAACGCTTGTACTGAAATCAGTTGACTGAAAACTGTGAGGGATAGGATAGTGATATTATGTTTATTGGTCAAAAAGCACCTTGTAACTCTTTCATTTTTCTTTTCAATTTTTTTAAAAAGAAAATTTCCAAAAAAGCAATGAGACAAAATGGGATGGTATTACTTCAAAATTCCAGATTGTACGGTAACAATCTTCAAGGCTGGAACTAGTTACACAATTAACAATTATGTTCAGGCAACAGTTAGTCATTAGATATTAGCCTTTTTGATTGACTGGTTTTGTGCCATCAAGTTATTTTCAACTCTGGATGACTACATATGTTTGTGTCCATGATGATCCATTTCTATCCTGGTTTTTTCAGATCTTCCAACAATGTCATCATCATCACTGTAAAGCTAAGTCCATTTAGCCTTCTTCTCTTTCCTTCCATCTTTCCCAGCATTAGTGCCTTCTCTGGAGAGCTAGGTCTTTGTATAATGGTTCAAAGTAGGATAAATCAATCCTAGCCTCACATGAAAACTCTGATCTGTTTTCTTGGCTGTTTAGAGCAGTGGTCCCCAACCCCCGGGCCGCGGACCGGTGCCGGGCCGTGGAGTACCTGGCACCGGGCCGCGCAGCGGCCGGGGGACATGAACGCTGCAGCGCAAAGGCTCCTGGGCCGTGCGCAAAAGCTCCTGGGCCGTGCGCAATGGGCCGTGCGCAAAAGCTCCTGGGCCGTGCGCAATGGGCCGTGCGCAAAAGCTCCTGGGCCGTGCCCACACCCCTGCGCGCGCTCAGCGGGCCGCGGCGATAAAAAGGTTGGGGACCACTGGTTTAGAGTATTCTCTGGACTTCAAATGTGTCAATATTCTTCCTATCTAGATATATTGACTTTGTTATTAGATAGATATTAAAGTGTGTCAAAGTCATTTTATTCTGCTGGAATTTTAAGATGCACACAGCTTGTAGGAGGACCAGCTGCAAACATGCTTTTTTTCCTCTCTCTGTGGCACTCACCCTACCAAAAAATTGTTTCAACGGGCAGAACACCTGCACCAAATAATGGCTGAGAAGATAGCTATTTTCTTAAAGAAAAATGAAAAATGCATTTTTGTGAGGAAATAATAAAGCATCTTTTAGCTTCACTAGGTATAAAAAGTTAGAATTCTTATTTATTTTCTTATGGTTGCCAACAAAAATATTTTATTTCTTTGACTCTCCCCCCCAAAAGCATAAGAAAGCTTATTTCCCTAAAATCATATTTTCTATGCAGAACTGCTCATGTGGCATTATAACAGATGATTATAAATCACCTCATGAAACTGAACACAAAATTTAAGTAATGCCCAGTTGCCAATTCATGGTTTTATAAGATGCTATGTGGAGTTTGTTTTTTTTCTTGCAATGAAAAAGGACTCTGTTTTAACTGAATATAAAACATCTGTGTGCCATCAGAGTATTTTGGCTCCTCATCATTATATAATTAAAAGATATCCCAAGGCTTCTGAAAAGGATCTACCTCAATTATCAAATCTTTTTTAAAAGCCTTGGGCTATCTTTTAATTATATAATGATGAAATTCATGAAAAATACACTACTTATTTTTGCTACAGACTTAAAGATAAATCCATTTCCCATCCTTGGTTCAATACACAAAACATATTTCTTGAAAATATTAATTCAAAATTGATTTACATATCCAAATTCACTACTTCTGGACAGGAAAGGCCTAAATATGAGAGTCAGTTGCCACAGATAAATATAATAAATCAATATCATGATTGTTTTCTGCATTAGTTTTATACATTTTTGATAATTTGGGATAGACAGTGCCTTACTCCTGTGGTTATCGTGGGGAGACAATTGCTCCATCCACCTGTAAAAGAGTGATGCCTATAAAAGCTATAAAACCCATCACTTGATGACTACCTATTGACATATCTTTTCACCTCTGTAATGGCAAACAACTGGGTGAATGACAGACATCATTAAATGCTTTCATATGTTTTGTAGTGAGACAGGAGTCTGTAGGAAACATCAAGATGGCAACCACACTGCTTTGTGATCAAAGCTCTGCCTGTTTTTTATATACGGTACATTTGGTGTAAGGTACATTAAAAAACAAACAAATGGAGTTTCAATCACACAGTTGTGGCCCCCATCTTGACTCCCCCCCTACTGTAAGGCCTTTCTCATTGGATGGGTTGACATTGGTTAGGCTTAGGAAGCGTTCACTGCAATTCATTCATTCATTCATTCATTCATTCATCTTATATAGCTAGCAGGACATGAGGTACATAAGATACAAAAGTTGGCATAACTTTTGTATCTCATGTACCTTATATAAGTACGACACAGGCATTTTCTATAGAGCTAAGGTTCTATGTTTGGTGGCAAACCTTAAATTAATTAAAACACTGCTCCAGCCCATCATCTAGATTACTATTTCTCAAACTTGGCAACTTGAAGATGTGTGGACTTCAACTCCCAGAATTCTCCAACCAGCCTTCCTGGCTGGGAAATTCTGGGAGTTGAAGTCCACACTTCTTCAGGTTGCCAAGGTTGAGAAACACTGAATATAAAACAAGCAGAGATATGCTAGAAGTATTTGGCTGTGCTCCTCTAAAACTCTACTCTAAATCATTATACTAGAAAAAGGTTGTTTCTTAAAATGGTATGAAATGAAAGACAGGGGTCAGAGAGCTTTCATATTTTTATTTGTTTATTTAACAATTAAATTTTATTAAATTTATATGTTGCCCATCTCACCGATAAGGCGATTCTGGGTTGCTTACAAATGATAAAAAAGATAAATTTAGAAACCGTTATAAGAAGTTATATAAGAGCTAAGACTAAGGGAATGGATCACATGAGGGTGATATGTTCTTATCCCATCAACCATCTCCAGCAAGGAGCATGCTATCAGACTCTCAAGTCACCTGGCAAAAACAGGTTTTTGGGCTCCTCTGGAAGGCCAGGAGGATGGGATCAGATCTCATGTTGGATGAGGCTCTTCTCCTCAGCTCTGCCAGTCAGAATTCCATAGCAGATGGAGTTTGAAGTAAGCCCCCTCCACTGGAGGTGATGGGGCAGGCTAGGCCCATTGGGGCGATACAGCTCTTCAGATACCCTGGACCCATGCCATAAAGAGCTTTAAATATTATTATATTCTATATCATATCATAAGTACTTTCCAGGTACTGTATGTCCTTGCATAATTTTTATTTGTATGTTGACTTGTATCTCAGTTGTTTCTATACTGATTATGAAAGCTTTCCACAGATTTCTGAAGATATGTGATCTCACAGACATGACCAAATTTAATCAGCATTCAATGATGAAAAGTTTTACTGATCATCATGCTACTCTTTAAACATATTGAAGTATTCCTGGAGTTTATCATCTGCCTGTCCGTCCGCCCATCCATGCTGAGATTTAATAAATAACAGGTATAACATTAAAATAATCTTGGCATTACATTGAAAAGTTGATTCAAAAGATTAAAGGAGAAAGGAGTATTAGGTAGGTTCACCACATTGAATTATAAAAATAATAAAGGTTCTACTGTATATAAATAAAACAATATTTAACACTTTCAGAAAATACTCATCCCATTATGTGTGCATTTGTTTCTCTTTCCATCTAGATTTTGGAAAAATATGTTCACCATTCTGACGGTTGGAATTGATCCATATATTTATTAACCTGAGGATACTTTCAAAGATCTCCTGGTTTTGTTATGCAGGACATATCCTTAATAAAAAAACATACCAGACGGTGTAACCTGGAACCATTGACTAAGTGTTAAAGTTTTTGTGTTGTTTAGTTTTTGGAAAGGATTAAGAAAACATCTCATTGCACGAGGTGCTTTTTCTTTGGAAACACGATGAAAAACATTTGGGTTCTGTTGCTCTTTGCACTGAATCTGAAAACTACCTGTTCCACCTTTGTCAGCATCAACCAGGGACTAAAAGTGATGAGAGGTCAATCTGTCTTCCTGTCACCAAATGAGTTGCAGTTTTCCATCCCCAGAGAGAAGGATACATGTAAAATAGAAGTGGTAATGAATGAGCCAATCTCCCAGAGAGTTGGGAAGATGACTCCACAGGTACGTGGATTTCAACTGTAATTGTGTAGCAATTATTTGATGAGATGAAGTTATTTAAAGCTGCTGTTATTTGACAAGGTGGAGTGCTGAGCTCTATCTGAGTTTCTGTTTGGGAACAATATTTTATGGCTAATGAAAAGTGCATAAAAACTTGAGAATGATAGCCATCCAGTAAAACAACTATTAATCTAAAAAGACGTTCTACTTACATAATAGAATGTATGGATGATCTTGGGGAACAAGAGGAAGAGATGTTGCCTAGGAAATGATGAGATAAGTTTCAAGCTCTAGAGATGTCCAATATGATCTTTGGGCATTCCAGATATAACACCATCCAATTTCATGTATGGATCCAACATGAGATTGAGACAAAGCAGAAATTCCTTCTCCTGTCACCTAACATGGGAAAAATACAAATGCATGTTACATTTATCCCTATGAGAGGACATTTTCAGGAATGGGAGAATATTATGAAGAGTTATTGCCACTTTAATACAAATCAGTGTGGGGTTTGGGGGAGACAGTCTGATGGTATTTGCAGTCACTCAGGTTTGGGGGCAGATGTATTGATCATTGAATCAAATTTTCATTCTCTCTCCCTCCCTCCCTCCCTCTCCTCCACCCCACCTCCGGCACTTTTTTTTTTAATTTGATTTATATGCCGCCCTTCTCCGGAGACTCAGGGCAGCTTACAATGTGCTCAGCACTTTATAGTAAAAGAAGGTTGGGATTTGGGGAGGAAGGTTGTGGAGATCTCAACACCTCGATTGCATACAAAAGCTCCATGGAATTCAGAACTGAGACTAAATTCAGAGCTATCTGAATTCTATGATGTTCATTCACAGTACTCTAAGTACTGTAAATGAACATCACTTCCAAATTAAACTGTTTTGCAAACTTTAGAAAGAGTCCCACGTTTATTCAAATGCTCTTCTCAGAACACCAATGGAGGGAAGGAAAAGGATTTTCAGGGGACCGCATGCTATTAAAACAAACAAATTGTACAAGGGTTATACAGGAAAGCAAACACACTGGGCCACAGTGTTATAAATTTAAATCACATGTGGCCTTTTGTGATCTTCCAGCATTTATTTCTTCTGTACTTACCACAAACACACAAACTGCTACATGCTCAAGATGCAAGCATAGTAAGTATTGAGTTGTACTCATTGTAATGTGACCCCTGAGCAACAATTCAAAAACTCTAGCATAGATCCAATGCGTTTTCTTAACAACTTACAATGAATTGCTTTGAGGAATTTAATTTGATTTAAACCAGAAGCATATCCCTTATTCACAAACTTCATGTTTAATAAATAATGGCACCTAGCAGGATGACATCCATTCACTTGCTTCCATATCCAATCCTGTCCATACAATCCTGTTCTGCTGTGAGTGGATCTATGTGCATATATGCATTGTTATCTGTTTTTATAGCTGATTGTTCATTATTGCACCTCGCTCATATCTGTTGGACAAATTAGATGTGTGTGTGTGTGTGTGTGTGAAACGTCTTAATCGCCCATCTCCCTCATAGAGTTGCTCCATCTAGCAGCTGTCGCTATATAAAGAGGCATTATTGTAGTTCTCAATGAGTCATCCAGATTATTGTTTGTTGCATGTTTGACATGGTTAAAAAAATACATGGACCATGCGCTGAATTGAAAAGGAAAAATACATATTTGGGGAATCATCATGTGCTCTTATTTACATTTGCCTAACTATTGCCATTGTTAAGGTCACACTTTCCTTACCGAGAAGTCTGTGTCTGAATACAAGTAGTCCTTGACTTACAACCATGTGTTTAGTGACTGTTTGAAGTTACAATGGCACTGAAAAAAAACAAACAACCATTGCAGCATTCCCATGGTCACATGATCAAAATTCAGATGTTTGGCAAGTGGCTCATATTTATGATGGTTGCAATGTCCCAGGGTTGTGTGATCGCCTTTTGTGACTTTCTGACAAGCAAAGTCAATGGGGCAGCCAGAGTCATTTAACAACTGTGTTATTAACAACAGCAATGATTCATTTAACAACTGTGGCAAGAAAACTCATAAAATGGGGCAAAAGTCACTTAGCAACTATTTCACTTAGCAACAGAAACTTTGGGCTCTATTGTGGTCGTAAGTCAAGGACTGCCGGTATGTATGTTTCAGTTATTTATATTTTGATTTTGAGATTTTAATTTTCCCAGGCCAACTCAAAAACATATCACAATGACAACATTTGTATATAACCATTAAAATCAAGCAATATCATATAATTACATTTATTTATATAAGAAAAAGTCTTACCCTAAAACCAGTTAATTTAAAAAAGAAGCCCTCTGACATGACATAATTTGAAGAAGAAAGGCCCCACTGGATCTCTTTGGGTATAATATTTTATAGCTGCACTGTCTTTCATGCTGTAATGCAAATAAATGTTACATTAAATATGAGTCCAAGATAAAACAGACTTCTCTCTCTCTCCCCCTCCCTCCCTCCCTCTCTCTCTTTTTCTCTGTGTCTGTGTCTGTGTGAGTGTGTGTGTAAGCAGACTTAGATATTAATACCTTTCCCACTAAGTTTTTGGAAGCAGATGTCAACCAGGAAAGTTAATATTTGTTTATCTCTAACATTCTAGTTGTCTTCATGTCACATGGGATTGCATGTAAAGCAAGATTTATAAGTTTGACAGACAAATCTTTTTTAAATAGAAAATCCTATGGCAGTGATGGCTAACCTTTTTGCCGTTGAGTGCCAAAAGCGGGGGGAGCGTGGGGGGATCACGTGCACGCGTGCCCACACCCATAATTCAATGCTCCCCCCGTGCATGCGCATGTGACCCCTCCCGCGTGACCCCCATTTTTGACACGCGATGGCACAGTGGGACCGGAAGGCCCATTTTTCGCCCTCCTCAGGCTTCAGAGGCTTTCTTGGAGTCCGGGGAGGGTGAAAATGGCCTTCACCCCCACCCCCGGAGGCTCTCCGGAGGCCGGAAACAGGCTGTTTCCTGACTTCCTGTGGGCCTGAGGGCCTGAAAATCAGCTGGCTGGCGTGCACAGCTGAGCTAGGGCAACGCTCAGGTGCCCATTGATATGGCTCCGCGTGCCACCTATGGCATGCGTGCCATAGGTTCGCCATCACGGTCCTATGGGGTTCTTGTTTTAGAAAGAAGCTCTTAACGATAGTATTCTTGAAGCAAGGCTAGCACCACAGTTTAATGGAGGTCAACTGGTTTCCTACCTTTAATTGGCCTGTTGCCCTCACCAACAAACTCCTCTTCTATGGCACCCAAATTCTGTTCCTGCCCACTGATTCATCATTCACCAATCAGGTCTTGTCCTATGACTTCCTGCCAAGTGGCAATGCTTATCAACACCAACAATGCTGGCTGCTGTTATACATGGTCTTAGATAAAGCCAAAGTAGCACTTGGTTTTTGAATGTACTAAACACTGACTATTTTGGTAAGGTGACCAGATTTTAACATTGGTAAAGAGGGACATTGTGGGTGTGGCTTATTTTGTGGGCGTGGCTAGCTGGTCATGTGACTGGGTGGGC